ACAGGATGGGGAGGTATTTGCGAAGGGAAAACTGTGAATGGGTCTTGGAGCCCAAAAATGCAGTCCTTCCACATAAATTATTTGGAGCTGCTAGCTGTTCAGCTAACATTAAAACACTTCCTTCCTCTCCTGGAAGGTCACCATGTGTTGGTGAGAACAGACAACACAACTGTGGTGGCTTATATCAACAGGCAGGGGGGCCTAAGATCACAGAGGCTTCATACACTGGCCCACAAACTGATCATCTGGAGCAGCAGACATTTCCTGTCTCTGAGGGCCACTCATGTTCCTGGAGTGCTGAACTGTGGAGCAGATCTTCTCTCCAGGGGGAACCCTCTGTACGCAGAGTGGAAACTCCACCCAGATGTGGTCAGGCTGGTCTGGGAGAGTTTCGGACAGCCATCTGTGGACCTCTTTGCCTCACAAGAGAGCAATCAGTGTCCCCTGTTCTTCTCCCTGCACAACCAGAATGCACCACTGGGAGTGGACGCACTCGCCCACAGGTGGCCTCGGGTCCTGCTTTATGCTTTTCCTTCCATAGCTCTCATCTCACCAACGTTAGCCAGAGTGAGGTCAGAGGGCCTGCCAATGATTCTCATTGCACCTAACTGGCCATCAAAACACTGGTTAGCAGAGATAACTCAGCTTCTCTGGGAGGAGCCTTGGCCTCTGCCTGCCCGCAAAGGACCTGCTGTCTCAGGCACAGGGACAAATCTTTCACCCCCACCCAGAAAGGCTGGCTCTGTGGGCCTGGCCCGTAAGTGGTTCAACCTTCAATCCACGGGGCTCCCACAGAATGTAAGTGAGACCATACAGAAGCACGGGCACCTGCAACRAGATCTCTGTATGAGTGCAAATGGTCCATTTTTGAGAAATGGTGCACCGACTATCAGGAGATTCCTTATCAGTGTTCTGTAGCTGTCATTTTGTATTTCTTACAGAACCTGATTGATAAGTGAAAAGCTTTTTCCACTATCAAAGTTTATTTGGCGGCTATTTCAGCCTGCCACATGGGCTTCTAGGGAAAAACAGCAGGCCATCATTCTTTAGTAGGTCGGTTTATGAAGGGGGGCTCGCAGAAAACTGCCTGTCTCAAAACCTATGACCCCTACATGGGACCTTCCTCTGGTACTGGAGGCTCTCACTACTTCGCCCTTTGAGCCTCTGGATCAGGTGGAATTAACGTTGGTAGCACTGAAAACAGCACTTTTGCTGGCACTTGTCTATACTAAACATGTGGGTGAGATTCATGCTTTATCAGTTCACCCATCCAGCACAAAATTCTCTTTGGACAATTCTAAGGTGACCCTGCTCCCAAAACCCTGCTTTTGAGCCTAAGGTATTGGGTTCTTACTTTCCTATTGAGTTAGTGGCTTTTAATCCTCCTCCGTTCTCTTCTGAGGAGCAGGAGAGGCT